GGGGAGGGGGGTGCATGGAGCCGTATCGGATGAATCATATGAATACCATTCTCATATAAAAAAAGGTAAACCAATGCCCATTAGTTTAAGCTTTTGGTAAGACACTAGATCCGGACCTCATATGGAAAAGTGATTCTGCTCCCAATTCACTCAAACATGTAGACTAAAAAAAGACTAATATATCTTGATTGACAATTGATTTTGGGATTAATATCATAATTCCACATTGCGGCCTTAATCTTTTTTCTTATCCACACGTTTAGCGAAAACGTGGGTTTATTGGCATTGACGCGAGTGGGAAGCAGAAGGGTGATCCAAATATCGGCCGTCTTTATGCTCTTCTTTTCCATAGTGGGTGAGTGCTAGTTCGTGAAATATGTTATTCGTACTTCAACCTTACACTAAAGTTGAGACTGTCACAGATAATCGCGTGTTAAATATTCGCGAAACAATCAATGTCTGTAAGATATTAACGGTGTCAATTTTGGTGTCAATCGCAATCGTAATGTAAATGTAGCAATGATCGTTAGCCTAGTATGTATATGGAATTAAAGTATTAAACACAACGTACATTAAATTTTGCAGGAAAATTTGGTGCAGTTGTTGCATCCGTGCCATTACCAATTGTTGGAGCCATCTACTGTGTCTTGTTCCCTCTAATGTGTATGTTTGTTTTATCCACAACCGTTATAATGACATTAGGTTTGGGTGTCATATTATGACATTGGTCCCTTACGGTGTTCCGTTCGAAAATTGATAGTTCTTATCTCTTAAGATCATGTCTAATGCTTACAAAAATTGAGTCTGAGTCCCATCCTAGTCAGCTTGTGGGATTCTTGATAGCATTGGAGAAAAAAAATAGAATATGGGCTCCGTCCCACTTTGGAAAGACCATCCCAAGTTGACGACCATTTAATGTTCTTCTAATTTTAAAAGGTAATTTTCATCGATATTTTAAATGAAGCGAGATTATCCATTGAAGATGGTAGTCTCACTTTTGTAAAAGTCTCACTAACACCACAATGTCCCCCTTTTGGCCCCTTTTGGGGTTCTTCCATGGACATACTCTAACACCATGACACTACCATGTCCGCCTTTTGGAATGAAGGTTAGAAGGTATGGATCATCAAATATTTGAACGGACCGTTTGCCTGATGTCAAATTATGACACCTAAACCTAGTGTTACTATCAGAGTATAACCTAGTAATTTTTTTATTTATTGATAACTCAAAGCCCACAAACGATCTTACTTTAAAACATTACTCCATATTTCGAATTTGACAAGAGTTTCAACATTTTGCTTTAAACATTTTGGGAGAAAATGTCAACTTTAATATTTAGCATTTTAAAAAGTAAAAAATTATAGGAGAAATACATAATTGGAACTAAAACATACTTTATATAGAGTAGATCAAACTAAGACTTTCATTTCTTTATACCAAAAAAATTATTCTCAAACATAATACAGAGTACCAAAAATGTAAACTATCAACATATAAAGCCAAATTGTGACATTTTGTAAGGTCAATGCTTTTATTTAGGATATAAAGTCATATGATGTCTTATTAGTTTGATGCTTTAGTCTTATTTAAATAATTTTTTCTTAAAATTTATTCAAAATGATAAATTAACAATTGTTTTCACTGTGTGGGGGAGTAGCTTCTGGAGGGCTGGGCTTACTGCAGTACTGCAACCTCAACAGCTACCGGACCAAATTCATATTGGGCTTCTCATTCTTTATGGGCTTCACTGTCTCTCAGTATTTCAACGGTTACATCATAACTACTAATCATGGCCCGGTTCATACCGGTTCAATTTGGGTAAACTACTTTCCCCCTAGCCCAAATAAAAATCTAAATGATGAATTAATCTCTCCGTCTTAAAGGGCTTGAATTTGAAAATGCAGTTTGATAAGACGATGCAAGTGATCTTCACATCTTCGGCAACCGTGGCGGGCGTGGTGGCGGTGTTCCTGGACCAGACAATCGGAAGAAAACATCCTCAGAATAGGAAAGACAGTGGGAGGGTGTGGTGGGCGAGGTTCAAGTACTTCGACCGCGATCCGAGGAATGCGGAATTCTACTCTTTGCCTTACGCTCTTTCTAGATATTTTCCCTCCGTGTAAATCTCTGATCCCATGGAATCTTTTCTTGGAGCTATACGCATATGCGATAGGGGTGAGCATCGGTTCGGTTCGGTCGGTTTCGGCCCAAAACCGAAAAAATCGAAATTCAAAAGTACTTGAAAAAACCGACCGAACCGAACCGAATTAAATATAGAACCGAACAAACCGAACCGAGTAAAAACCGATCGGGTTCGGTCAGTTTGAAAAAACCGAAATTTTCAATCTAAAAACCTACTGCCTACCGCAAATATTGAAGCATTTCTCAAATTTTTAAAGGAAAGTAATAGCAAACACATATTATAACAGCTCCAAAATGACAGCTCCAAATGACAAAAACATATTATCTCCCAAGGGTCAAACATAATATTTAAACAAACAAAAGCAGAGCCCCAAAATGAGTAATAAAAGCCAACAATGATATTGATAACAATCCAAGTAGAGCTTTAAAAAGTTCAAAATAATAATAAACTGAAAATGCTCCCATGACTTCATGCTCAATTCCTTCAGAACTGGATGTCACCCATCACCATCAATCTGTACTTATAAAGAAAAAAAATCTTAACATACAAACCACTAAAATTGAAAAGTATGAGAATTATAATTAATAAAATAACAGGATTACCAAAACATTACCGGATTACCAAAACCAAGATCTTAATGTCTTCACATCTCTAAGCATCAATAACGGGATCCAACTTGAGTTTCGAC